AGTATTCATTATGAGTTCTTGAAGTATTGTGAGCAATACCACTCTGTTTAAACATGAAAACAGTTAATTTATTGAGTGTAAGTGCCTGTTTATTGCACTTCTCAATGCATTTTTTTTTCAAAATTTTCTATTATAGCTCTATTATGCTCACATTATGCTTATGCTTTTGGGGGCTATTATGCTCAAAATTATGCTGGCATAATCCGCCAAGGCCTATCTAAAGTATGTGTAAAATTCCTCCCGAAAATCTACAAAATTATATATACACACATCTTAAGTTTTGTTAACCCACAAACTTCATACCCATAGGGTATATACAGTATGCATATGAGTATTGTTCACCTGTAACATACATTAAGTACACATGCTGCTCATACACAGTAAGTATTTCCCCAGTATTAATTTTGTGGTTATATATAAGAAATCACCCATAAAATCTGTGAAATTAAACACGTACCCTACGGAATTTTATACAGGTACAGTATTCAAGTACATGTGAGGTACATGTCATTTTGAATAGGCTAAAATTAAATTTTAATGACTTGATCAACATTTGCCAATTAAAATAAAACCCACCATTTATTAATAGATATTTATATTTCCAAAAAATCATTTGCATGCTTCTAGTCATTTACACATGTCTGACTACTGCCTCAATGACACATGACTATAAATCACTGGCAATTAATTTTCCAAAATTATCCCCTTCAAATTTTCCCACTATACAGCATTATAATACTTACCAGTTGTTTCCATATTCTTTTATTAATATCAAGTAACCAGCAATCATTCTTTAAAAAACCCCCTACCACTAGTAGGTGTGGGCCTGAGTTACTATTAATAAATACACTGGAATGACCCCATTGTTCCTCAGGTTTTTGCTTTGATACTTCACCAAGTTCGGAAAAATTCTAAATAATAAAAATAATACACATAAATAATGAAATTAGAATAACAATAGTATAACAATACATTACTAATAATGCACTTACTACTGATGTGTGGCTAAAATTAACAATATAAGCATTGTTACTGGTTCCATTAGGAGTAGACCCACCAAACAATATGGCACAGTCATTAGTAATTGATGTTAAAGTAAAGGAACTGATAGGAGGTGGTCTGTCTCCAGTAACATTAGGTGAACTCCATTTACCTAATAATAATAGATAAACATTAATACACACATACATTGTACTTATCACAATCATACAATACACAAATACACACACACACACATTCTAATGAGTATACTACAATATACAATATAATTAACATACTACAATATACTGTATTATACATTGGAAGACACATAAACATTTATACTAACCAGATGATAGTTTATAATAATGAATCTCATTAGTTCGTTTAAAACCAGGTACCATTCCTTTGCTGTCATACTGAGCATTAGGTTGTGTGGGTGTATTGTTAGAAGATGGTCCATGTCCTCCAATTACTGCAAGATAGTCCTCACCGTTCACTTGAAATGCTACCATGCTGCAGTGGGCTTTCATCATTGGGCCATGATGAGGAGTAGTAGGTGAGAGTTCCCTCCAGGTGAATGTATCAACATTAAAACTGTACAGGCTATTATGGTAACAGTTATCATGATTACACCTTCCACCAAAATAAAATATCTCATTTGCAATGGTAGCAGATGCATAGGTACAGATACCCAGTGGAGGATTACCAGTGGTGGGTTTCTGCTCCCATCTACCAGTAGGTAAATGGTATACCTCCATTAATGATGACAGTGCTTTCTTCTTATCATTATTGTGTACTTCAGGGAGATCAGACTGGAGCCCACCCCACATATATAAGTAGTCTCCTACTCTTACTGTAGAATGCCAACTCCTCTCCACTGGTTTATAGTCTATAGATAACAAGAGGTAACAGTAACCGAGTCCATCAAACATAAACAACTTCTCACCTTTTGCTGCCATTGTAATGGAGATACACCCATCTATGACGTCATCAAACAACTATGAATAATCATAGATATTAGAGACTACGTATACGTAGTCTCTAATATCTATGGAATAATGTACCATTATCATCAATGAATCATGTATAATAAATATAATACCGTAGGTCGATATATATTCGCGGCTGCTTATTTTCGCGATTTTTTCCCCGCACTCAGCAATTATCATGGTTACCAGATGCAATTTTAATTGAAAAATCCGCGATATTAATAGCAAAGGACTCTGTTGCAGTGTTCTTGGGCTGTTGTTCTTCTTGCTGTTACTAATCCTTGGTCTCTTTGGAGCTGTTTCAACCAGAGCTACTCTCTTCACTCTGCCTCGACGTATCTTGGCCCATTCTTGGGACTCTTCACCCATTTATTAAGTTGGGCGTGGTTAATTATCACCAGCAAGTGGAGCGGCAAGGATTTCCAGCTAAGAGCTCGAAGGTAGTGGTCCATACAAAATGATACAAGAAGATAGCGGATGGAGAACTGG